ATTCTGAAAGGTTTTATTTCTACAATGTATTTTAAATGATTAGGGATAGATAGATCATTAACAATTTTTTTACGCAATTAATTCACTGTAATTATTTTGTATTTCCACTGTGTTTAATTTTTTTTTTTCTGGGTGTGCAGATTTTTTTTCTGTTTTCTTGTTCAGATTTTCTGTTTTCAAAGATCAGTGTGAAATAAGAATTTGAACTTACTCTTGCTTGTGCCATCCACAACAGATGCATTCTGGCAGTGTTGGCATCTGTCGACTTCATGCTTGGTTAACGATTAAATGATCACTTCACTTCACTGCTCTCTTGTCATGGCTTCACAGGGTGTCTACCAGTGTAAAAAATAACACAAATTTTAATATTTACATATATATTAATTTGTTACTAGTAGCTTCGCAGTAAGTGGGTTTCGTATTGGGTGGGTCTCGCAGGGAGTAGGGATTTGTGCAGTAACTGGTCCTTTCATCGTTGTTGAAAATCCAGAGCCTTATATTTTATACATTTTTTTTGTATATTTAAAATAAATTATAAATGATTGCATTACTCACTAAACCTATTTCCCTGTCACTACCTGGGTAAGATATATCAACCGTAAAAATGTTGCCATAATATTAATTGGAAGGCCCAAATATAAGTCAGGACGCTACACTGCTTTTAGCTGAGGGGTGATACCATTTTTGGTTATACCTATCTAACGAGCATAGTAAACTCAATTACATTAAAATACAACAAAAATAATCAACAGAACAATTCTTAGAAATGATGGATACAATTGCAGTCCTTCCACACCAATCAAATTCAATTATCGTCTCGGATTTAAAATTTTCCAGATCACTGCCCTCACACGGTCATGGAGAGGCGGATGGTCGGAAACGAAGCCGCACGAATGAATCAGAACAAGTCATTGAAAATGACACAGTCCCCGTTAAGTTCTCTTTGTGCTCGTCATATTAAAGCGGAGGGTTGTCGCGAGCGTGTCCTTGAAACTTGAGTTCCAAGTGTCGTATACAACAGATTGTTTATTTACATCAAAACACGTGTTTCGAGTTGTAGTAATATGGCCAAAATAAAAACAGCCGTTATTCGGCCATCTTTGATCTGATTATGAAACACACTGATATGTATGATGTATGTGCCAAATACGAATGAAAATGGTACATAAATTGTGGAAATATAGTAGTAAAGCCAAAAAGTCAGATGGCTGTCAATCAGCCATCCTTGACCAGATTTTGAAACAAATTGTCATGGACATGCATCTTAACATGTATAAAGTACATGTATGTGCCCAATTTGAATGAAAACTGACAGAGCACGTCCAAGATACCGCACTAAAAAACAAAAACAAGATGCCTGCCAGTCGACCATCTTTGATCCAATTGCGAAATAAATCGCCATGGACATGTATCCGAACATGTATAATCTATGTACCAAGTTTAAATGACAACAGACAAAGCATGTTCAAATACACATTTTC